ATTTAGGATAAGGGAAGGGATGTATGAATTGACTCGTGAATTTTGGATTTCATCATTTTCTGTGAATTTATTATTTTGATGACCATGTGTACCTCGATTTTATAGCTTATAGTTATTTATTTATTTATTTTTGGACTTGGACTTGGACCCGTTATTGCCAAAAAAAAAAAAAAATTGTGAGAGAGGTTTTATGAAAGAAGGGTTTCCCTTCTCTCAAATATTTGTGTGTAATTATTGAATTAAGAAAAATATGAGACTAACAAATATATCAACCGACGGATTTGAATTAATATTAGCCTAAAACAAAGATAAAGTATTTGCAAATAATATATATAAAGAAACATTTTTCAATTGATCTATAGAATTTAAATATTTGATCAATACTCGTGGAATTTAGCTGAAAAAATAAAATAATTTCGCTGCATTAATTAGAGATGTTCAATTGGACTTTTAATAGTTAGAATCTGATCTAATTTGTCTTCTTTTGCCAAAAAAAAAATCTTACATACATGTTCATGCAGAAACTTTTCAAGGACTTAACTAAATCAACTTGACTTTTACCTAAGTTGGATTTTTTTATTTTTTTGGTAGTAAAAATGGTAGTTACGTGGCTGAAACGCAGTAAATGCTGAGGTTGGATTCAGTCGCACTTCAATCTAGTTATGGCATATCACCATCGTTATTAGTGTGTTGCAGCAATATCATATTGCTGGACTAATGTTTGCAATGCAACTTCCAAAAAAAAAAAAAAAAGGTACACTTACAATATTATGATGCCAATAAATGCTAGAACTATGAGACAAGAAATAACATCAATGAAGTTTACTTTTTTTCCGTGAGGAAAATAACTATAAAAACAAAAGGACACATCGTCCCTTGGGCTAGATGAGAAAGGTCAGATGCACTAAATTAGATAACGATCGAGTCTCATAAAACATGTCCAAATGCACCAAGGCTACAAATATCCCTTAGGGCTAGCTAACAGATAAGACCCTTAGTAAAGTGTAATCACTTTATATATATATATATATATATATATATATATATATAAAAAAAGACAAATTACAAAAGTATTTATGATAAACAATCATCAATATTTACTGTCCGTTAATCTATACTAATTTCCACTGGCGTATAAGTAATATATGCTAACCCACTAACTAATTTACAAATTGCATCCAACAATTAATTTATGGAGTTAACCTTATTTTTATATCAAATCTAAACAATCCAATCCGATACCATCTTCAAACTTAGTAGGGTCTACAAGTGCATGCTACATCAACTACTTTTATCTATCTATATATATCCCATCTCATCAATTTATTTTTTTCATATCAATACATACTAATTTCAAGATAAGCTAATTTACATTTGAACAACTATATTTATATATATATATAAAAATTACTTTTCATATTTAAAAAAAAAATCGAGATAATAATAATAGAAAATCAACTTAGCTAAAGGTAAAAAATTTTAAAAAAGTTCCCTCCACTCATTTTTTTTTTAATCAAAATTAATGCCTCATTCACATAGCAAGTAATGGCAACTGTTAGTGCCGACCTACAGAGAGTGTGAAGATGGTCTTGTACAGAAGTTGAGTATCGTAAATAAAAATGTTGAGATGAGATGGAGGATAGAGAGAGAGAAAAATGGGAGGGAAAGGTGAGAGAGTGAAGAGTGAAAAGACAAGTCAAACGTCAAATCGAGGGTCTTGAAATCATAAGACAGTCAGTGGATGTGTTGTCAATCAATATGATTTTGTTGCTCAATAATAACAATTTTATTTTTTTATTTTTTGGAATTGGTATTTACCAAAACAACAGCTTCTCTCTTCTTCTTCTTCTTCTTCTTCTTCATCATCTTCATCTTCTGCTTCTCCCTTTGCTTTCTTTTGCTTACTGTACAACAACAAGTTACTAAGCAACATCTGGTATACAAAACGAAACACTCTTTTGGTTTGCGCACGAGCCAAGGGTCTTGTCTCACGTGCAGTAGGTCTGGCCCCTCCTAAATATTAATTAAACTTGATGTTGTTATTGTTGTTGAGGTTGGGCACTAGTCCCAATATCTGAACATGAACCCTCAAGACCCGGCCGACACGGTTCCCAATGAGCCCAGTTTCTAGCCCCCCTACCCTTTTAATTCCCAATTTTTTCTTTTCTTTTTCAAGTCCACATTTACAACTAGTACTAGTACATTTCCTCTTCAATTATTTTCTATCATTTTCATTTCTTGTCCATCTTTCTATTATGTCTTTGTCACCAATACGTTTTTGTGTTGATTTTTTGTTACAGATTCACTCAACCATATAGTAGTGGTGGCGACAATGTTATGTAATGATGTTGTTTAGAGCATTTGGTTGGTAAATAAAAAATTTGAAGACAAAACTTTTTTCCTACTAACTTTGAGGTTACCTTTCGTAGGTATCATTATTAATACTCACTTTTTTAGCTTAGTTGGTTTAATAACATTCATTCACCATGTCCATGTCTTTTTAAAATACATCGACCATCAAAGTATATTGTAGCCGATGCCCCAGCTTCCTGCTCTCAGGGCCGGGCTTTTCTAAAATTCCTAGTCACTTATGATTTGTTAACAAAAATGTTTTTATGAGTCCTTGATAACAATATTGGGTGTGTTTGATGATGCAATTGAAATGAAAAATCTGCGCAACATAAAGTATAATTAAGGTTTTGATCTTTATTTTTCTACAGTCATTAATAACGTTCTTACCATGTTTTCATAATATCACACCATTATTCTTTAAATTTATCATCAATTACAAATTTATAATACAGTAATTAAAATGTCACAAAATTTCTTACCAAAAAGAAAAAAAAGTATCATTAAAAATTCCAATACATATAAATTCAAAATTTAAAGCTATCATTAAAAAGTCTTGATTGATTTAAGGTGCTTAGACTTGATCATGACTTTGAGGTTGGTGTGCGCAAAAAGAAAAAAAGAAAAAAGAAGGAAGTAATTAATTAACTAAATGTTGTATTAGTCATCCTGGCTACCTAGCTAGCTAAATTATAAATGTCATGATCAATTTGATTAGCATTCTATGAGAATATCCGTAAACTAGAGTGATTAGATTCGGGGAAATGAATTTTGGCAATAGGTTGAGCCGAAGACCACCAAATCTTCATACTTTTTTTTTTTTTTATTTATATGCATTCATTGACGAACTTTCTTAAATAGAATGACTAAGCCTATAACTTATAACTAATAATTGTACGTATTTGATGTCCATGTTTTTATAATCTAATTGGGATTGATTTTTTGGCAATTTGAATATGTGGATAATAGTCATCATGTCTCTTCTAACATCAACACAATGTGGGGATGAGTGGTATCCCAAGTGTGTTTAACCAAAAAGTTTTAAGACATGGTTGAACATTAACAAAATATATATAGGAACAGATTCTTTTTGAATTTGTCTTTTGTGGAAAAATAATAACAATAATAATAAATTGAAAACCAACTAGTGATTCCTAGTTTTCTTATTGATCAAATATTTATATAGCCTGTGAGAACTATAGACAATTAATTTAAATTCCTGATGTGTGATTGCCTAAAGTATCACCATTAATTGACTCTTTGGCTAGAAACAGTTAATTTGTAGCCCTTAATCAGCATTTGCAGTTCAAGATTATACTGCCAAAAAGCACAGCCTAAGGCCACGTATCGAAGGTAGGAAAAGTATTTTGACGAGTTATTTTTTTTCTTTTCTAATTTTTTGACAATCAACTTTATACATTTTCCAAAAGTAAAAAGAATTAAACAAGAGGTAAACACGATACTAAAATTAATTTGCTAAATCACAGCATGATAAATAAGGAAAAAAAATTAGAACAGGCGATAATAAATACAAAAGCCTCCATGCATTCCAATCAAAATGAAGGGGAAAAAACTTACTGCATCTTGATCACAAGTAGGAAGGAATTTAATTTTTCTTATACTATGTATATTTATTACATTTGTTTCCACGTTTAAAGTTTGTATCTATATATATATATATATTAAAAATAATTTATCATCAAGAAACAATTTAACATTGAAATTTGAGATTTTCATGAAGAAATCTTATAGTTAAATTCGAAAAGTATGAAACGAGATTTAAAAACATGAGAAGATTAAACTTTATTTTATGGTTTGAGACCCGTTTGACTTCACATCCAACTTAAAATAACAATTTTAAACAAGATACGTTCCTCTTAAACAAAACGGATGTATGAATAAAAATTAAATTACAGGGTATAGGGTCGTTGACACTTACCTATCTTTTACTTTAAGCACATAAAAAATACTTGCAAGAAGTTTTAAAGTTTTTAATTGCAATTAAACTAATTATAAATAAAATAAAGAGCGCAATTCCTTGATCAACCAACCAAATACAAATACAATGAAAATGATTAAAAATTGATGAATGAACATTGCCCCATGAGTCTAGTAGTCAACACTCTTAACAAGTCATAAAGAATAAGAATCATTTTGCCTCATAGTTTTTGCACAAAACTATATGTACTCCTAAGTCCACAGTATTATTTATAGTATACATGTCATTAGTAGTAAATCTCTCATCAATTATTAATAATTCTAATAAATCCCATTATTTATTTCTCACCCCTGTTTTTTAAATACCTCAGCCGCCCCGAATAGCCATCCATATTGCGCTCTCTCTCTCTCTCTCTCTCTCTCAATCGAGGGAGAAAAGAATCTCTCTTTCTTTCTCTTTCAAAGACATACAGGAACACACTAACACATCATCATCACCACCATCAACCTTAGCAAGAACCCCCTCCCCTCAAAAAAAAGAAAGAAAAAAAAAAAAAAGTCTTCTTATCTTCTCTTCCTCTTGTATACCTGCCCTTTAGCCTCCACTCCCTTGTTCTTTCTTTCTTGCTCTTTATTATAATATATATATTATAGATATAACAAGAAGCAACCCTAGCTAATAAACAAAACCATATATTTGTTTTTTTGGAGTCATGACTCTTGAAGACTCTTTAAGATCTCTATCTTTAGACTACCTTAACCTTCTTATCAATGGCCAGGCTTTCTCCGATGTAACTTTCAGTGTAGAGGGTCGTTTAGTTCATGCTCACAGGTGTATTTTAGCAGCAAGAAGTCTGTTTTTCAGGAAGTTTTTTTGCGGACCTGACCCACCATCTGGGTTAGACCCATCCGGGTCAAGGATAAACTCGGTTGGATCACCAGGTTCGAGGTCAAATGCGATACAAGTTAACTCAGTGGGGTATGAGGTGTTCTTGTTGCTGTTACAGTTCTTGTATAGTGGACAAGTCTCTATTTTGCCACAAAAACATGAGCCAAGGCCTAATTGTGGCGAGAGAGGGTGTTGGCATACACATTGCACCTCAGCCGTTGATCTTGCTCTTGACACTCTTGCTGCCGCTAGATACTTTGGTGTTGAACAGCTTGCAATGCTCACTCAGGTCTTTCTTCCTTGTAGTCTCATATAGCAGCTAGTTATGATCATTTCAAGAATTTTTTTCCCCCTTTTTGCTTCTCCCTTTGTCTCTCGTTTCTCTCAAAAACTTGATGAGTGTGTAGAGTATAGTACTCATATGTTTTTTGGTTTCGGTTTTTGGGAAGTGGGAAGGTATTTTTGTGATGGGTTTTTTTTTCCTTTTTTCTTTTTTTTGCCTTTTTTGTTAAATGGGAATTTTATTATCCCATGTTGGCTGAGAGGTTGTGTCATGTCTGATAATCTGTGTATCTTTTTGTTCAATTGGCTTTACCTGGCTTTCTTGTTCATTTCAAGCAGTTGAGTTAGATCCCACACGCATTTATAGTACTTTCTTATGTAGATGGTAATTCAATTATTGTTTCAATTTTCTCATAACAGTGTTTGTGGGCTTTTCTTCTCTTTTCCTCTTGTTAACTTCTCTTCTTTCTGCTGTTGATAGTTATCAAACACTATAGCACTAGACTTATATAAGTCGAATGTTGATCATGTCCATGTTCGTAAGAGGTTTATCCTAGATTTCATGCATCGTTTTTGGTTTCTTGAGTTGGAATTTTCAATCTTCCTGCGGTACATATAGCTAGGACTTTCTAAATTTAGCTCTTCATCTCCAGTCTTGTCTTCCACAGTGTGGTAACCAAATTTATGTCCAACAAGCACTTTCTTCGTTTGGGTATAAGATTGTGAAAAAGAGATATGGACAAAATAAACAATTTTTTTTGCATAAAACTTGCATAAAACATCCCATCATACACTAAGGCAATAAAGAAAATTCCATTTGCAACTAATTCCATTTACCAATGCTAATATATATATTCCCTTGTTTTGTGTTCCTCAGAAGCAATTGGCTAGCATGGTAGAGAAGGCCTCAATTGAAGATGTGATGAAGGTGCTAATAGCTTCAAGAAAGCAAGATATGCACCAACTTTGGACTACCTGCTCCCATCTTGTGGCCAAATCAGGTCTACCACCAGAAGTCCTAGCTAAACACCTTACAATTGATGTTGTGGCCAAAATTGAAGAACTACGCCTCAAATCATCCATTGCTCGTAGATCAGTAATGTCCCACCATCACCACCATCTCCATGATCTTACCGCAGCTGCTGATCTCGAAGACCAAAAAATTCGAAGAATGAAAAGGGCATTAGACTCATCTGATGTTGAACTAGTCAAGCTTATGGTAATGGGAGAAGGCCTAAATCTCGATGAGGCATTGGCTTTACATCATGCTGTTGAGAATTGTAGTCGAGAAGTGGTCAAAGCCTTGCTTGAACTTGGTGCAGCTGATGTTAACTATCCGGCGGGGCCGGCAGGGAAAACCCCACTTCACATTGCAGCAGAAATGGTGTCACCAGATATGGTTGCAGTACTTCTCGACCATCATGCTGACCCTAATGTTAGAACCGTTGATGGAGTCACCCCTCTTGACATTCTTAGAACCCTAACCTCAGATTTCTTGTTCAAGGGGGCAGTCCCAGGTCTAGCTCACATTGAGCCCAACAAGCTTAGGCTGTGTCTTGAGCTTGTTCAATCAGCAGCTATGGTTCTTTCACGTGAAGAAGGGAATGTGAATGTACCTACTTCAAGTCCAATTTATCCACCAATGAGTGATGACCATAATACTAGCAGCAGTGGTACTAATCTTGCTAACTTGAATCTTGATTCAAGGTTGGTTTATTTGAATCTTGGAGCTGTTGGTTCAGGTCAAATGGGATCAAGAATGGAAGGAGATGATGATAGTAGCCATAACAGCCAGAGAGATCATCATGCAATGAGTCGACATGATCCAACAATGTACCACCGTCACTCTCATGACTTCTAGCTAGTTCCAACCTACCTAAGCTCTCTCTTTATAATTATATAGCCATGATGGAGGATCAGGAGAGATAGACAAGTAAAAGCTTCATGACAGTTCTTGAAGATTATTGTTGGATTATATATATATATATATATATATATATTATATATCCTCTCTCTCTCTCTCTTGTCATCAATCTTCAATCAGTTCCATCACTTATTGCCCTTTCTTTTTTGTTCTCCTTTCTCTCTGTTCTATTTGGGTTGTTTCTTTTGGTTTTTGTAGGCTTTCAATGATTCATCATATGAGAAGTGCAGTTTCGTTGGAGATGGGATGTATCATTTCTGATCTCTCATGGGATGAGACAAGGAGAATCTGAGTTTTTGCTCTCTTGAGAGGAGAGAGAGACGCAGGTCAATCTTTTCAAACCTGGCCTGTCAACTCCTTTGTATTTATTGATAGTATCTAATATCATGGCCTATTTATTGTGCCCTTTTATTTTCTGTCTCCTCCACCCACCTTCCCATCATCTAAACATCACATAATACACAATTAGTAAATTAAGAGGGGAAAAAAATAGCATTAACTGACTTTTGCTAACATTTAATTATACGATAATAATCATTTTAAAATAGAGCTAGGAAACGTAAATTAGAAGGTAGATTTTGGTGTCTAATAATGGTGGGGTTTCTTTACTTCATTATAGGCTTTGTTTGGACATGGATGATATATATTATATTGAGGCAAATGAGCTGTCTCTTTTCTCTTTCACATTTCTTTTCTAAGCATTCATGGGCTTTAGAGAAAACTTGATTGGATGCAGTTTTGTCTTAATTAATTTAGAAGAAAATCATGTGGTCATGGACAATTTGATTGGTTGTCTTGCATGAATGCAACAATATTGAGTGTGACTGCACACGACAGCTTAATATATTGGTATTATCTAATTGAGGATTCCCTTCATGTAATCCTCTTTTTTGTCCCCCTTGCCTTATTTGGCCTCTTGTAGTAACTCCTAGAGACTTACGGTTAAACCCTAGAAGGTTTTAATATTCTGCTTTCTAAACCAATGGGTGTGTGTCGGTCCCTGCTGATCAACATCCTGATGTATATATTCTATTTTTTGGCAGACTTGAAATTCTTTCAGTCTCTCCTTTTTAAGCCAGTTTCCATGCTATAAACCTTGTGCTCACTGCGGTTTTGCATGCTTCATTGGCAGACTCTCTTTTGAGCACTGTCCATTACTTATTTCAATGTTATTCCTTATATTTTTTTGTTAGACTACTGAAAAAAAAAATGCATGTTAATTTCCCAGCCAATCAAGATTCTTGTTATAGTACTTAAAGTTTTATTCTCCAATTAGGATTTTAATGGCCACATAATTATGTGCCTATAGGTACACAATAGACCATGTGATGCAACCTAGCTAGTAGACAAAGAGAAAGTTGAGCATTCTTCTTTCAACTACTTCAAATTGCATTGCATAATTAATGTTTTAGCAATATGTTGATGGTACATTTTAGCATTTCAGTGGCCTCAGAGGTCAGCTTAATTAATTACGTACTAGTAGATTTATGATATATATTCTGAGGCAACGTCATGAACATTATCGATTTTCAAGTTGTTCATGATGATAAGTTTTGAGTGCTCCTCTTTAGTCGGTAAAAGACCTGATAACATTCTTTTCGTAGATTAATTTATCAGCATTATACCCAGCAGCCCTTAAAGACGATTGTATTTAGATAGATAGCCCTAATGAGATTACGTAGAAGGAGTTCGAAGAAAATGTTTGAGCATGAGGATTGGTCACATGGTCAAAAATTCAATATGAATTTATTCATACAGGAAAATAGGCAAAGCAATCACCTGCCAAAATTCTTCTGTTTTGCGTGTTTGCTGAAAGTGTGATGTATATAATAAATGGACCATATGCCGGTCCACAGTCCCTAGCTAGTTTGAAGTCCTGGAGTGGATACCTCCTTGCTAGTTCAATCTAATTAACATGTTTTTGTTCATTGGTAAGAGAAACGTTGGATTCAGAGGGACTGAAATATGAGACTTTAAGGATATAATAATATTCCTTGTTTGGTTTACGAGGGATTTTCTTTGAAATTAATCTGGCAGTCCCAATAAAAAACGTTTTGGGGGCAAATGGGAATTGTTGTCCTTTTCGATCGTGGAACTTGGAATTGGAACCCTCAGGCATCAGTTTCTAACGATATTTTTCAGAAGTCTCGGAAATCTCACATTCGCCTAATAAAAGACTTAGTCTGTTATATATCTTCGCCTTCTTGCCTTTTAAAACTTTTTGACAGCATAGAGATTATCAAGGATTATGAATGTCGAAGTATCCAAAATATATCATGTCATTAGCCGAAAATTCAAATGTATAACCTTTAGCCAATATACACTAATTTATTACGGCAATTATCTGTTTCTTTGTATGGATCGAGTTTTAGTATGATTTATTTGCAGTTGCAGGCATAAAGGTTTTCTATTAGCTATTATCTATCTAGATGGGCAGTACCCTTAACCTAATTAATGGTTAACAATAACAATCTAATTAACCATTCTCCTTCTTCTAGACAAATGCCTGGTTGCTTCTTGTTTCATCTGAAAATCATTGCAATTCAATTATAGTTCTGTTTTTAGAAAAGCAATTCAACTATATATACGTCTAATTATAGTTGAATAACCTGCATATTATTAATTGTATACGTCTATTCCAACTTCAACTTAATTTCCTATTATTTTAATGGGTTTGGCTCCAGCAAGCTGGGACTTGAGTCATATTCACACTGCTCATTTTTTGCTGTTGAGAGATCATTTTTGTTTTGAATATAAATTATTATTATTTGTTCAGATAGATAAAAAATAAAATATTTATGTTTAGAGACCTGAATATATGTCAATACGTACAGATAGGTTCATGCATGGGATAAGAAATAAACAATTCATAGAATCCCCTTTAAATGACAATTTATATATCATCTGTTTGGTTTTAATGGAAATCATTACTGTCAGGTCAATTTTTTACTTAATTTCTTGTCTAATTTTATTCAATATTAAGAACAATACTGTAACGCCAAATAGTTTCAGCAAATATTCAGATTTAAAAGTGTATTGATGATGATGGCTCACTTTGATATTCTATGAAGGTTAGCCAGATTCGATCGTAAGGATTGTCATATGAAATGATTTTGATGGATATTTATCATATACAAATAGAATTAGCATTTCCAATAAAGCTCCATTTGTTTGGCCAAAAATAACTTCTAAATGAAAAAAATAATTCTGGAGAAGTTATTTTTTTAAAAAATATTTTCTCGACGTTTGACAATTACATGAAAAAACTATTAAAAAATATATTCTAGCGTTTGTTTGGTATGAAAAACTGAAATACAAAAATAGACTCGTGATTATTACATCAACGAGTTTTGAGGAACCTTCAGCAAGGTATCTTCACAATCTCATAAAATAAAAATTGTTAAAAAATCTCACATCCATAATAGTTCATATACAAAAAGTTATCAAAACAGAACATATGAGTTACCGATATGTTAGTATATCTAAACAAAAAAAATCATTTATAATTAAGAATATATCAAGACAAAGACTCATGGTGCTGAAATATCATTTGGACTATATATATATATATATATATATATATATATATTTTCATTCATATGTAGAAAATATTTTCAAATCAATTTACAATTGGAACTAAATCTTTTTAAGAAAGATTTTAAAAAATACATTTTTAAAATCAATAAGATATGTTTAGAAAAATTTAATAAATTTTTATAAATACCGACTCTAAGATATAAATTCAAAAAATTAAAAAATAAATTGTACATTTTTAACCATCAAATTAATTCATCAAAACTACTTGAAACAAATCAAATCAATATTCATATTTAGTAAATAAAATTTCTAAGTAATCCTAACATTATTATTTTGGCAATTCAATTAATATATATATATTGAGAAATTGAACTCGATAATTTAGTCTAAAAAATAGTTTTACAAATTATTAGTTATCATTTATAGATAATTATTCATTTAGTTTTAAAAGATCAATGTTGAAATAATTTGTAGCTAATTATTGACTATAGTTACTCGGTAAAATTTTACATTAATTAAAATTAGTCACAAATGATTGATTTGGATATAAATAAATAGTATTGAAAAAATAATATATTTATTACTGAATTAATTAATTTCAAAATTTTCATAAATGATTGCAGTCTTGTAATAATTAAATAATTAATAATAATTGATAAGAAATAATTAAAAATTAATTTGATATATTTTAAATAAAAATGAGGCGAGAGAAACTTTTTTAAAAATATATGAAGAGAAATGAGAGTAACGTGAGAGCAAGATAACTCGTGACAAAGAGAAAATATTTTTTTCTTTTGAACTAAAAAGTCACTTTTTAGAAATAGTTTATTAATTTTCGTTAACTAAAAATCAAATTCCGTTGATTTTTTTTCTAAACACAAAACAAGCATAAAAAAATAAAAATAAATAAATGAAAAAACAAGTTTTGAAAATTTATTTTTTTCGAAACAAACACAACTTAAATAAATTAAATTGGCAATAATTAGTGTCCTCCTTCTCCTTCAAACTTCTCTATTATAACAAAAACATTCATGCCATTAATTAGAGCGGTGAACGCTTTCCTGCTTATTCCGAACTTAGGCGGAGTTGAAGAGGCAATAAAATTTTCATGATTCTTGTTGATATATCAATGCGGATAACCTGATTTTGATTGATTGGACTAAACAGACTGACAAATATCTATTAAAAAAAGTTGGCCCACATACACTGTTTATTTGTAATAAATAAATAAATAAAGAATTAAAAACCTGGAAGCTTATTCTTGATCTATTTATTTTCGGCATTGACTCTTAAAAACGAAATGGGAATTACAGATTATTGCCACATAACCAGAATAGGAAAAGAGAGATGAGTTTCTAATCGTGTAGTGCTTATAGCAATCATAGCATTCTTTTTTCTCG